ATTCTCTGTGCTTGAGTTTTATTAATAGCGTAGGTTTCAGCATGAATCGTCTCCCACCCTCCCTCCCACCCTCCTGTTGCTGTAATTTTATTGCGCTGAGCTAAATTTTACAGCTTCAGGAACGCTTAGTGGTTTTTGAGATCTAAGATTATATCATTTAAAGTTGGTAATCAGGGTATTTTGTAGCTCTGATGGAAGAAAACAAGGAATTAGGTGATAACATCCATTTGTGCAAGATAAAATGATAGAAAATTGCCATATTTTGTGCTTGATATATGGTGTTAGAACTCTTGCTGTCCTTTTCTTATTTGGTTGGCTCATGTCTTTTAATATCATAGACTATAAAATAATGAATAAGTAAATATCTTGGATGAATATAATAATTTTCTCTGAAACTGAATTTTTCTTTCAGAGGCTAAGTTTGTTGACTCTCTTTGATTTCCATTTCTCTAAATTATACTATATATGTCTTTTCTGAGCCTATTTGGTTATCATAGGATTTTGCTTGTAATAATAAGCAAAAAAGTATTTGATTGTTATATTTTGGTAACAGATGTCTGGCTGACTTTTGGTTTTGCTTGATTTCTGTGTTTGTTTAGGATTGAGTCTCTTTATTTTGTCAAAAATCAAAGCTTGGATGAAACTTGCAAAACATTCTCACAAGAAAGATTATTAAATTTTAAATGGTGCAAATCCAGTATTTAATGGGAGATATTTCATGGATTTGAAAGCCTGACCTAATGTGCCATAGATAATGGAAACATTGTAAATTGAGTCAGTGTCGGATGTTGTGGGTGAATCATTGGATGTTTGTTTTGAATCATGTCAAATAAGAGCCCTCCCATGGCTCCTGCTTATATTTTATTGGAAAGCAATCAGTAAATGGGTAATCATTTCTTTTGGTTGTCTTTTATAGGATTGCTGATGCTGAAGAGAATTTGGGTGAAAGTGAAGTTCGTGAAGCTCATTTAGCTAAGTCATTATTTTACATTCAGATTGGTGATAAGGTATATAACTATTATGACTTGTTGCTTTTTGTAGTATTTTAGTCCACAATTATATGCTTTTTGTGCATTTGTTGTTTTAATTAAAAAATTGTCCCACTTGAACCCAGGAAAAAGCTTTGGAACAACTGAAGATAACAGAAGGCAAAACAGTTGCTGTTGGGCAAAAGATGGATTTGGTGTTCTATACACTGCAGCTTGGGTTTTTCTACATGGATTTTGATCTTATTTCCAAGAGCATTGATAAGGCCAAGAAGTGCGTCAGCAATTTCCGACGACCTTTTTCATTTACATTTCCCTAAAGTGCGGCCTGTGAATCTCTGATTTAACTGTTTGTTTATGATGCCAGCTTGTTTGAAGAGGGAGGTGATTGGGAAAGGAAGAACCGTTTGAAGGTGTATGAAGGCTTGTACTGCATGTCCACTCGGAATTTTAAGAAGGCAGCCAATTTATTTTTCGATTCAATTTCAACGTTCACAACTTATGAGCTTTTCCCGTATGACACCTTCATATTTTACACTGTCCTTACAAGTATTATATCATTGGACAGAGTTTCCCTGAAGCAAAAGGTATCTGGGGTTATGCACCAGTGTTTATGCAGTGAATTCTTGGTTTTATTTGTTCTATTAGTCAAATGGCATGCTTACTGTCAATCTTGCTAATTTGAACTAACTGCAGGTGGTGGATGCTCCTGAGATCTTGACAGTGATTGGGAAAATCCCTTATCTTTCCGAGTTCTTAAACTCTCTTTATGATTGTCAATACAAATCATTTTTCTCTGCTTTTGGTAAGTATAGATCTAATATTTCTTGTACCACAATTTAATTGAATGTCTTCAGAATTGTTGGTTGTTTTGCTTTATCTCTGAATTATAGTGCTGCTTTATCACCTTTGAATTTGTGGTGATATAATGATTGACCATTCATAAGGTGTCTGAATTATGTTCTCACAGCTAGGCTTTTTTTATTGTTCTATTTTCAGCTGGCTTGACAGAGCAAATAAAATTGGACCGTTATTTGTATCCACACTTTCGGTATTACATGAGGGAGGTCAGAACCGTTGTGTATTCTCAATTTTTGGAATCCTATAAGAGCGTTACTATTGAAGCAATGGCAAAGGCATTTGGTGTAACAGTGGAGTTCATTGATCTGTGAGTACCTAATTGCATGAATGCATGTTCCTTTATATATATACTTTTGAAGAAAAAAAAGTTTAGATGGTCCCTTATATTCTGAGGTCCTGTTATGTTTGAATATTTTGGCCTATCAGTAAGCGTAACCCTTTTATTTCTCCAGGGAGCTATCACGGTTTATTGCAGCTGGGAAGCTTCATTGTAAGATTGATAAGGTTGCTGGTGTTCTTGAAACTAATCGCCCGGATGCAAAGAATGCTCTTTACCAAGCAACAATCAAGCAAGGGGACTTCTTATTGAACCGCATCCAGAAGCTTTCTCGTGTGATTGATCTATGAAATTGGTTGAGGCAATTTTTTAATTCTGAAATGATGCTGAAATTTGCGAGTTATAAAGAAATACAGAGAATAGGAACTCTTGTTGTTTGCCTTTATCTGAATTAACTTGATACTAGTTAAGATCTGCTTTCTCTGCTTTGCAAATTTGTTTAGAATTATAGCTGATTAAGTTGTCATCATCCCCATTTGTTATATGAGTTCCTTCTTGAGGTGATTATTTTGAGTGCACGAATACATGATATCTAATTATTTTGCTTTGGGGATCTAATTAAGCAAACCTCTCAGCAAGCATGATGTCGTTTCAGAAATAGCTTTTCCAATGCATTATTGAAACTTTAGGAGCACGAAATCGGTGATATGATGCGTGGGGATATGTAAGACTTATTGGGCCATCGCTAGTGGATCTGGATCCAGTATTTGCAAGCTATATACTTCTTTTCCTTCACATTTTCAATTGATTGATAAATTTTTTTACCCCAATGTCTTCCCTTTTGGTGATGCTTAAAAGAAAGTTGGATGGTGAATAACTCAATTCAGGCTCCCACGGTTTTAGGTCCCGCTGCTCCTGCAACATACAGTACTGCTAGAACTTGTCCAATCTTTTAATATCATGTACCATTTTTCAATATATTACCGTATCTTTTATCATTTGCCCACTTGATACTATGGTTTTGAAAACAACGGCTTATGGGCCAATCAATATTTCAACCTTAGTCCTTCAATGTTTGATGCATATGTGCCACCAATTATTTTGTTTTATTTTAAATTGATTCCTGTGATATCAACCTCAAGTTAAAAAGATAAAGCATAGTCCTACTGCTATGCTCTTATAAAGAAAAGAAAAAAAAAAAGTAAAATCAGAAAATAGATAAGGGTCTAAAGGACAAAAGGGGAAAAGTGATAGATATCGAGATAATTTTAGTTACCCTCTTGGGGTTTGGGTCTAGTTTTATGACTTTATCCCGATCCTGCAATTGAAACTGCTAGTAGACCTGCTAATTTTAATTGACCATAACCCTAGTGTTTTAAAACTTGATGCGGCCGACCTATTGAATCGAGACTTTATACTTTCACTGAGTCGGGTTACAAATTTTTTTATTCATTGAAAGCTCTAGAAATTAGGATATCAATCCATGAACAATTGAAGGTTGGAATGTTAGGGTTTTTGAAGAGGAATGATTGGTGAGTGCATAGTGATTTTCAGTGAGTGAATCGATTAGACATTGCAAAACTATGTTGACAAAAAAAAGGCCGTTGTTGCTGGCAATTGGGGAGGTGAACGAGAAAGGGGTGAGATAGGTTTTGATCAAGAGGCCGAGGGAAGTGTTTTCATGGTGATAGAGAGTAACAAACTCTATTTGCCGACGTCGACGGTAGTGTTTGAGATTTTTTGCAAGACTTCAAACCTATAGGGACTTATAGTAATTTTAGGAATATTTTTATTAGATTTTAAACCTATAGACACCGGTTTGACCTGTCGGTTAAACCGATCAACCCGAGACCCGACCACTTTGCCAGGTTTCACTCCGGGTTGGGTTTTAAAACACTGCTTAACCCATGTAAAGGCAAAATGGATAGAGTTATTTGATTAGTAATTGTTAGTTTGAGGGGATTATTTCATAATATTTGAAAAGATGGGACTTTAATTTGGACCGAAAAGGGCTGGGTGGATTAAGTTAAACATGGTATTACACATGCAATATTTTTGTAAAATATTTTGATGATGTGACAAAAAATAATTGATTGATTTTAAATTAAAAATAAATTTTTATCTAATTATCTTTTATGACGTTATATTATATGAAAAATATTATAGGCTAGTATTACAGTAAGTTATTCCCTCCCTGGTTGTTCATCCATTTTTTCTTTAAAAACCAGCAATTTACTAAATAGAAACTAGACGTGCAAGCTAAGCGTCACATTTTTTGAAGAATTCTGAACTCACCATCACCATCCTTTGGTTTCTCAGCCACAACTTCACTCCCACAAACATTCTGCCTAGTACAGCATACATTTATCGTACATATCAATACATTATATCCTCCTCACTTCCACTAGGATTCCGCGGCATGAAACGTCAGTATAATCTTAATATTTTATTTTAATAATCATACCAAACAAACACTATGCCTCCTTTCGATTTCAAAGAGATTCAAGACAAGCTTTCCCATTCCTTGAGACCTTGGCAACGCTCCTTACAGTTTTGGGTTCGAGCTGTTGATATCTATACGGGCTACAAGGTTTCTCTCTCTCTCTCTCTCTCTCTCTCTCTCTCTCTCTGTGTTTCTTCCTCTCTTTATGGTCATGAACTTTAGTGGGATTTATATGGGTTTGTTGTCAGGCGTTTCAAGTTCGAGTTAGCTTCGTGAAAGATGTCCAGAAGCAAGAGGCAATGTGGGAACAACAACATGAGCTTGCTGCTCAGAAGATTTATGCAATGTGCTCTGAACTTGGTGGCTTCTTTCTTAAGGTACTTGACTCGTTTCTCTTTTTTTAAGTTCAATTTTNAGTACAGCATACATTTATCGTACATATCAATACATTATATCCTCCTCACTTCCACTAGGATTCCGCGGCATGAAACGTCAGTATAATCTTAATATTTTATTTTAATAATCATACCAAACAAACACTATGCCTCCTTTCGATTTCAAAGAGATTCAAGACAAGCTTTCCCATTCCTTGAGACCTTGGCAACGCTCCTTACAGTTTTGGGTTCGAGCTGTTGATATCTATACGGGCTACAAGGTTTCTCTCTCTCTCTCTCTCTCTCTCTGTTTCTTCCTCTCTTTATGGTCATGAACTTTAGTGGGATTTATATGGGTTTGTTGTCAGGCGTTTCAAGTTCGAGTTAGCTTCGTGAAAGATGTCCAGAAGCAAGAGGCAATGTGGGAACAACAACATGAGCTTGCTGCTCAGAAGATTTATGCAATGTGCTCTGAACTTGGTGGCTTCTTTCTTAAGGTACTTGACTCGTTTCTCTTTTTTTAAGTTCAATTTTCTCTTTGCTATTTGCTTTCTGTTGAATCATTCTCTGAGAATTCTTCAACTCAAATGGGGTTTGGGTCTTCGCATCAACTTTTTACTGTTTAATCGAACTGTAAAAAACTTTCTTATTGCATGTCTGATTTTAGCTGTTCTTCTGATTTGGGAAAATATAATTACTATCCTCTTCTTAATTTAAATTAATAGATTTTGCTTTCAATTTGTAATAAGGAGTGGAGCGTGAAATTATTTTTAAAATTATTATGTGTCTTGGTCTTAGAATTTTCTCTGAAATCGTGCTTTAATTTATTGTTATGTCATTTTTTCATTTCCTCATTTTGTAGTTTGGTTTTTGTTTAAAAGGTGTAAATTCCGCAACTTGTTCATGATTCCGATTTGTACTCTGTGCTAGATGTATTTATAACTTTATTGCTTTAAACTAGATTGCCCAAATTGTTGGGAAGCCTGACTTGGCCCCAGCTGCATGGGTGAGAAGGCTTGTTACACTGTGTGATCAAGCTCCTGCAACTCCATTCGAGGCTGTTCAACTCGTTCTGGAGAGGGAATTAGGTCGAAGTATTGGCGACATTTTTGAAAGCTTTGATGTAAATCCTCTTGGTTCTGCTTCTATTGCGCAGGTATCTTAAACCCAGAAAAATATTCTGATGCCACAAGGCATGGTAATGTGTTGCTTGAGACATTTTATTATCTATCAATTAAGAATTTTATTTTATTTTTAAAGAAAACTAATGAAGACTATCAAGATCGATGCCCCTTTTTGTTGACATTTTTAAGCTAATAATTTGGCTGAGCCTTGAAGTTCAAGAGTTGGTAATCTGGAAACAAGAATGAATATAGGAAATAAAATTCGACACCATCTGTCCATTGATGATTTTGTCATTATCAGTATCAATCTGTATGCTAAACAGAAATCACTAGAGCATAGACTTTACCTTTGAATTGAGTTAGCTGCGAGTGAAGTCAAAATGACATTCTTTGGCAACAATGTGCAATGTATCTAATGGTTACATTTTGTTTCATTTTTGACCAACCTAACATAAACAAGTATTAGAACTGTGCTTTCTGGTGGTGACACTAAATGCACTTCCAAACTTCACACACTGCTCCCTTGAAGCTAAAAGATATAATTATAGGAAAACAGTGTCTGTGTCTGTGCCAGTTGGGGGGATATCATTTGAAGAGTCTACGTGTTTACATAAACACTAAAACTTGTTGTTTTTCTGTTTTCCATGAACTTTTACATATTTAATTTGAAAATCTTGTAAGTGGTATAAAATTTTAATCCGAAAGTTAGGAAAATTGTAGAGCTGGTATCTCATCTTGAACCCCAGAAGGTAATCTTCATCTGTCACTGTATTTACATGTTGTCTTGAAGATCTAATAGCCAGCAATTTTTTAATCCATTAAGGTTAGAAAAACTTTACTGCCTTGTAGGAGTGAAAATCACTCTGCAAATTGTATTTATTATGTTGCTTATAAAGAGATATGCATGTATAACTGACAACTTTTATGCTCAAATTAGGTTCACCGAGCAAGATTCAGAGGTGATAATAGTGATGTTGTTGTAAAGGTATGGATTCTCATGGAAATGATCTTTTGTTGGTGTATGCTATCTGTCAGATTCTAACTATTAAGTACATTTTAGGTGCAACATCCAGGAGTTCAGGATCTGATGATGACAGACATCCGTAACGTGCAAGCATTTGCTTACTACTTGCAAAAGACAGATATTATGTTTGATCTACTTTCTGTGACAAAAGAAATGGAGAAACAGGTACACGTGATTTTTGTTGATAGTCTTTCTCCATTATTTTCATCATTTTTCCCCCAAGTGTATAAGGGTTGTTTTGTGCTGATATTGGTTAGTTTTGCCTTCTTTAGTTTGAAAGTAGTTGAAGATAGCATAAGTAGTAACATGGTTGGGTTGGCCATGTTTGACCATTTAGTCCTTGTGAAATTATGCCAAGATATAATTTCTAATTATGTGAATATAAAGCTTCTTTTTGTATGGCTCTGAATTTTACTATGTCTGTATAATTTATATATACATGTTTTTGCCATTCAAGATTGGATATGAGTTTGACTTTAAAAGAGAGGGAGATGCGATGGAGAGAATTCGGCAGTTTTTGTACAAGAATAACAAAAAGTCTCCTGTTGTGGTGCCACGGCTACTGCATGATATGGTTACCAGGTACTTGTTGCTGCACCATGTTCTTAAGTTGTCCAAACTTCAGCAGTCCAACCAGGAGTTGTTTCCTATAGAAAATGCTTGATACTATGTGGCTATCAATTGAAGAGCCATAAAGATGATATTTTTTATATACCTGCTGTACCATTTTGAGCTCTTTGTTGTATTATATATGATTCATTCTTTGAATTGTGAGTTGCCTTCATTCAAAGGTTCCACTAGTTTTATAGCTATTAAAGCTATGTGATACATGCTCTTACTTTTATTTTCTTGGGGCATGTATTTGCTAATTGACTAGTTTTAAAATAATCCATCCTTGTCAGTTGTCATGACTACATGTTTGCTATTTTTGTATTTGTTCTTATATGAGATAGAACCAGCAGGGAGTTGTTTGTGCTGTCAATGGTGCCAAATACGGGAGCAAGAATTCGAAAGGATTGAAATTTATGTAGTAAAAAAGAACATAGGATTTCATGCTTAAGTGGAAAAGAAAACTGACTTTTGACTCATGGGGCTGCAGAACTTTAACTCATGCCATCAAATCTAGAAAGACTTTGTAAAAGTAATGGTGATTCTGTGGACTAGGATTCATGTTGCTAACTTGAAGTTAGTGACATACTACTGTAGATTTTGGACTGAGAATTTGCTGCAGATAATCTTAATAAACTTTACTTTATTGCTGGATAGGGAATGGTTGGTAATTAATTTGACCAACCAAAAGAGCTTGATGTTTTAATTCTGGTTATAGCAATTTTCATGTTAGTATTGCTCCTTGCTCCTTGGTGTGTCTTTAATGGTCTATGTAATCGTAAAACTATCTTCAATTACCCTATAAAATTGCATTGTTGATATTTTTACCACATCTTCATCATCTTGGTCGAGTGCTAGCTTCATAATTTTCCCCCTTTCCATTTTCTGCAACAGATTGGAAACATTGTATTATTCACAAGTATGTTAAATTTTACTCTTTTTTTCTAGTCATAAGATGCATCTGCGCTTTAATATCTTGTACTGAATAACTGCTTGTGCTTTGATTTTATTTAGATGCTTTTAGTAATTTAGTATCAATTTGTTTGGGCAGGAAAGTCTTAGTGATGGAATACATTGATGGGACCCCGATCCTAAATCTTGGTGATGAAATAGCAAAAAGAGGAATCAATCCTGGTGGTAAGATTGCAGCAGCAGCAAAGCAGTAAGCCCCTAGATTGTCTCAGAGAGTATGGAGCTTTTTTTGCCACATTTTCTTTTTCTTTTGATGGCTATTACTTTGCCTATATTGTGTTTTCCTTCCTGGTACTGCAGATTACTTGATTGTCTCTTTCGTATAAAGTTGAAGTCCTCTTATGAGTTTCAACTTTGTTGAGAATGTTTGTCTTTGCTCAAACTCCATTACCTCAATAGCCTGTCCCCTTGTGCCTGCAATTTTTCACTCATGATTTCATCTTAGACTTTTGCTTCAATGCGCTTTTTCTAAGTTTTAACATCTGGTTGTTGTAATCAGTTTTGCAGAAAGTTTACTTATTATGTAACCATTTACTGATGATTTTATCTTTTCTTTCCCTCTCTCTTCTCTCCACGCTCTGACATTGTAGAAACTAGTGATCTTCAATATAAAGCATGACATGCTTGTTAAAATTCCGTTGGATGCAGGAACATACTTAAGAGTTTGACTCTAGCATATGGACAAATGATACTGAAGAGTGGATTCTTCCATGCAGATCCTCATCCGGGAAATATCCTGATTTGTAAAGGTTCAGAGGCAAGTAATCCATCAACATTTGTTTTATACTGGATCCTGTAAGTTTTAGTTTTGCAGTCTTTTTGTGTAGCTTGCTCCTGAAGGGGTGTAGTTACAGCCCTCTTCAATATTCTCTTTTTCTTAAATATGGGTGATACAAACAAGAGGTATATATTAATTTAACACTTTTTTAACTCTCTGTGTTTTTTAACTATTAACTTGGTCTGTGTTTCCTATATTAAGTCAGGTTGCCTTATTAGACTATGGACAAGTAAAGGATCTTCCAGACAAGTTGAGGCTTGGATATGCTAATTTAGTTCTTGCCATAGCTGATAGTGACCCCATTAGAGTGATGGAGAGCTACAGGTAAACTTGTTTCCTAATATATTCAATTTTAATCGGTTTTCCAATACTATAAGAGAAGCTAAGATCAGAACCGGCAGGCTGCTGCGTACACTTGTGTTTCTGTTACTCTTGAAGATTCAAAATTTAAATGGGAAAATTACGAGAAATCTGATCTTAATCTTTTGAAAGTTATACTTCAGCCAATTATTTGTTTGGTTGTTATCGATTAATGGATGATATAGTTTTTTTCTGGTTACATGAAGTAAGGATGTAGTTTAGAAATTTTACCATTACCGTTTTTGTGATATTGTTCTAAATTGGGCAATCTCTCAAATGGGCTGAACTGCCATGTCTATTTCTTATTCCAACGTCAGGGAGCTTGGCATAGGCACATTAAGCAAATGTGAGAATGAACAACAGGAATTGCTTAAGTTGGCCCAGACAATGTTTGATACAAAACTGCCTCCTGGAATGACAATGCTACAACCCTTCTCAGAGGAATCTTCAATTAAGAAGATTGCCGTTCAGGTAAGCATTTGATGAGAATCCAAGCCCATCATACTCATCACAAATGCTAGGGATTTCAATGAAGTCCTAGCCTGAGTGGAGTTAGAATTGGTTGAATTGGGGTGGTATATGAATTGTGATTGTAAGAATTCATATCAGCATTGCATTTGATGGTATGATTAAAAATAAACCCCCAATTTGTGTCAGATTATGAATAAGATATTTCTTTTCTTGGTTTTCTATGTTGAACATATTTGTGTCAGAATCTCTCAAGTTTTTCAAGACATATGGGAACCACAACCCCTATGAAACAAGTCTATGTTGTCTTTGCTTCATTTTGATATTAAGGGTTATGATGTTCTCAAGGAGTACCTAGTAACCGAAAATTTCAACTGTTCATTGTGAAGATTTAAGGGAATGATATGATGTATGGGTTTTTTCAAAAATAGTTTCAAGGAGCCCTTTGTTTTCTTGGTATTAAATTGTTCTAAACCATAAATGTTGAATTTAAGTGTTATACTGAATAGGAAAATAAAATGAAATACTCAGTTTTGTATCATATGGTATTCTTCTTTCATGTTATTCTGTTTAGTGAAATAATAATATATAATTTTCTGAATGCTGTTTAACTTGAGATTTGCAACATCAATGGAGCAAGCAGGAAGTTAGATTATATTTCTCATGCTTAACAATTTGCCTATGACAGTCTTTCCCGGAAGAGCTGTTTTCTGTTCTTCGCACAGTGCACCTTTTGAGAGGACTTAGTGTTGGTCTTGGAATCAATTACTCGTGTGCAGAACAGTGGAGACCAATTGCTGAAGAAGCTTTATACCTTGCAGGAAGATTGAGAGGTTGGCTTTCTGAAGTTTGAACTAATTCTCTAGTGACAGACGTTTTTTCCATGTTCTCGAATCCTGTAGGAATTTATGTAGTCTCATATGAATGCTTATGTTGTTTGTATATTCCCCACCTAGTTTTTCAGACATAGAACACATCATTTATGTGTTCCATGTCTAACTGTTCATTGTACTTTTTCAGACAAGGATCGAAGTCTAGAGTTAACAGGCGGCGTTTCTCAGAAGATTGAATCGTAGAGAGTGACCCCGGTGTCAAAGGTGGGCATCATTTAATCAGGAAATGTAGTGATATATTTCGTGTATACTGATTAAACCTTCAATTGCCTTTGAAATTCAATACTCTGTCATTAGACATCCTTCATTTGATGTTTACACACCTATCTGTTGTGGTTTTGAATGCAGCATCGATCTTATTAATTCCTCGGAAAGTGTAAGTAGAAAGGGAGGAAATGATAACCTCCTTACCAAATATGGATTGAAGATTGAACTAAGCACAAATATTTTGAATGTATTTTATTTCCATTAAAGCATTTGGATTTTTGTTGATTTATTCTTAACATAACAAGCAGTCGAGCCTCTGATAGGATCCTGTTGGCTTATAATAGTATTATAAAGAATCTATTCTTTTATTATATCATTATTTTTTGGGTTAAAATGTTAGAACCCTAAATTCTTTCTACGCAATATTTCTCTTAATACTTTTTTTTTTTTAAAAAATATATGAAATTTGGAGTAACATAACAAAATTATGAATGAAAATGATTATAAAATAATTTAAACTTCATCAATTTTTATTTTGTTTTGTAGTTCAATTTTAATTAATATTCATTAAACAGTTCAATTTTAATATACATTTCTATAAAGACCACTGGAGAATATAATTAAGAAATGATAAAATAATGAGATTTATTTTTTCAAAGAAATAATAAAAGGATAATATCAAATGAATTGAGAAATACATACAAGTGAATATTTTAAATTATTTTTTAGGTAAGGCTTTATTAAATAAAACATAAGGTTTCAATAACTTTAAAAATAATAATATAATAAAGGGTAAAGAAGAAGGAAATATTCAGTTTTAAGCTAAGATTCTTGAATATTATACTCACTGATAAATTCGATTCAACCAATCGTCTTTGCTAATAAGGGTGCCGGCAGAGTCCGCCACCCCCCGGTGTCAACCAAATTGTCACTGTTAATTGGTTAGTGAGCCAAGGTGGGCCGAGATCACGTTGGGCCGGACCCGTTATACTAATAGTCCATTCTTCTACAGCGGGCATTTGTGGCGCCAAAGCACGCAAACCAAAAAAAAAAAAAGAAAAGGCAGATCCGAAATGTTCGGAAGTGAGAGCAGCTTCTTCGACACTGGACTGCCTGGATTGGAGAAGCCGCCGTCTAAACTTATCAAGATGATTCTTTCTCTATCTATGGTATACTTTTCATGTTTACGTATATCTTTAATTTATTAATGGCCTTCAATTGTTCGAATCCACCATCTTGTTGCCTGAAATTGAAATTTGTTTAGCTTCAATTGGCTTGTTGGTTTGATTTTGTAAGAAATGAATTACGTGATTTGATTTTGTGGAATCTGTTTATTTAGTAATCAACAACGCTTTATTGCTCGTTTGTGCGTGCTCCGTTCTTTTTGGTCTTTGGTTATTTGATAATTGATTCGTAGCAAGTTAACTTTACTACTACGGCGTTTGATCCATATTTTTTTACCATCTGCGTTACTGTTTGTATTATTTATACTCTGCTTATTTCCTCGGTAATTGATGCTCATTTTTTTTTTTTATAAATAAGCCATGAATCAATAGCATATACTGATAATGTGTTATTATTCTAATGTGACATCAAGAAATGATTTGTGCTCTGATCTGAGGTGTGACCAAAATTAGAGAGAATTTCAAAAATAGTATCAATATCAATTGTACTGCATGTGACCTTTTTGAAAACTTTTGCACCAAAAAAAAAAAAAAAAAAAAAAATTAATAATAACTGCTGTACCAATATTCTTTCAAAACGGTAGCTGCAAAACTTGGCCATGCGTGTTAATTTTCCCATTCTTGGCGCAGAGGTTACACTAATGAAGCTTAAACTAGGTTCTCAACGCGATCTGGGTTCACCTCCCGATATAGATATGGAGAGAGAAACTGCTTGTAGTTGCATGGATGCTAAAAGCTCACATTGTTCAGAGGAAAATTCTACTTCTCTCAAAGTGTTGAACAGTTCCCATATTGTTTCCCAGGGCCACAATAATGAGATGGTGATAGATACTAATGGTTCTTCTTCGAGTATTTCATCGAGTTCGAGTGATTGTCAATCTACTGGCAGTTTGCAACAGCAGCAGAACAGGAATTTGTCCATTCTTTACCTCTTTTCCAAATTTAGGAGTTCTGGACAAGGCAAAAGCTCATCGCAAGAGGAGAATATGATGATCGAGAATGATGGTTCTTGTGTAAGTACTTCAACAACTTCTAGTAGATTGGAACAGGATTGTATCAGTTCTTTTCCTGTTAGTCAATCATGAGAAAAGTTTTGTGTTCCTGATCTGGATACGTGTTAACATTAGAACGGTTTGAATTCATTTTCAACTTTGTTGTAGTTATTGTGCTCACTTTTGATTAGTAATGCTGGGTAAAGAATGTTATGTGCTGCATATTTTGAGGAAATAGCATGATAAAACGGTTTGAATTCATTATTTGTGCTCACTTTTGAGTTCTGATAAGTAATGCTGGGTAAATAATGTAATGTGCCTCGTAGTTTCAGGAAATAGCATAATATGAATCTATTAACAAAGTTTAGATGGCAGAATTTGTTTAAATTGGCAATTGAAATGACAAAAATAAAATCAAGTCTAGAAAAAGTTTATAAAGAAGTCCGGTAAAAAACTAAAAAAGAAAAAAATTTGATAAAAGATTATTTCCGTTACATTTTCAAGTATTTTGCTCCATGGATGGGACCAAGCTGACGACTGTTTGAACAAGATCTCAGTTTTAGCAATGGTTTCATTAAATACCTTACAAGTTACAACTAGAATCCCTTTCTGTTTTTTTTGTTGAGCCAGTTCTTCCACCCAGTATAGGCCCTGTTTAACGCCAGAAACCCTCAGGCAAGTTTCTTTTCTTCTCAAGCAATGGTAAATATTACTGCAATATTCCCATATTACAAGATTAATAGTTCTCAAAATGCCAGATACAACTAGCCTTAACAAGATTTCAGTCATAAAAGGGTTGCTGGAACATGATACAGCAGTAGATGGCCATTCATCTAAACGGAGAAATGAGTCAAATTAAGAAAAGAAAGAATGAAGGACTAAACTTCCGAATGTTTCTATTAGAAAATGACAATTTTATTCTTACATGCAGTTTTCATTGAACTGTTTGAATCAAAGATCAGTTAAAACACTAGGGTAATCCGAAGACAGCTGTTACAAAGGTGTGCCTAACTGTAATTGTTTGGTGAAAGATCACTCCGTTAACCATGGTGCTTGAGCTGGTATCCACTGGCATAATTCACCTTCCTTGAACCATAGCGCTGCAGAGAAATCAAAATATGAGAGAGAGAGAGAGAGAAAGAGAGAAGGAACAGGCATTTTGCACTAGGATCAGATAGATTCACCCAAAGTGATATGGATAGAGCATAAAATCTATATTCTAGCTTCCAAAAAATGGGAAAAAAGCAAATTTTATTGATCAGGTCTGCATGAAGATAGAAAAGGAAGATGCAGAGAGGGAAACAAATTATACTATCACATTTTCTTCCCAGTATGTAGGCCATTTGTGGCTTTCCAACCCAATACTCACTTGACTATATGCCCCATTTTCATTTAAGCTCTCAGTATCATATGCATTAGCTTCCTACGTCTCGCTCTCATATGATACTTGATGATTATGGAATACTGAAGTGCTGAGTTCCTGGTAACTTAAAAATCTCTCACTACTACCAATGTAAGCATCATAATCACACATATATCATTTATTAATTGGCTGATTGGCTGCTCTCTGGTCTTTGCATTGTTCGGGTGAGGTTACAGTGTTGGTCAGTTCATATGAATGGTATGTAATATGTACTGGGAAAAAAACCAGGGCAAGTAACTTCAGTAGCATCTCACATCACATAGGCTATATACCAACACTGGGATTCACTTTGAGATCAAGAAAAGAATCATGAAAATGAGCACCATGCTGTTCCCAATGTCATAAAAAAGCATTAACAACGTTACCTATCTCACGCTTGCCGTTCTCAGGGCTGTCACTTCCATGGACCACATTCCTGCCAAAATGCTCATCATCAGACTTTGTCTATTGACAAAATAATTGTTTACAAGAGGATTAAATATTTAAGTACCATCTAGTATAAGATGCACTTAAGTAGAGCAAAGTCAAAAGTCTGAAGAGGTCTACCTTCCTGTTTGAACAGCAAGATCCCCTCTTATTGTTCCTGGCTCTGCTTGCAGAGGGTTTGTTGAGCCTATTAGCTTACGTGCTGATGCCACAACACCAACACCCTCCCAAGCCTTGATAAAATTACATCACCATCAGTTTCTTGAACTAAAAAGGTACATATAGAGTTAAAAGAAAGGAGAAGCATACCATACATAAAACTGGGCCTGAAGTAATGTATTCAATCAATTTAGGGAAGAATGGTTTGGACTTGAGATCCTTGTAGTGTTCCTGTAACCATTGAAGATACACATAAGCAAAATTGTCCAAGCATCATGAGGAGGTTATCAAATAGCCATATATTGACAAAATTTTCAAAGATGAAACTTAAAATATTCTGAATCATTGTCAACACACGCAGGTATAGAAAGCTTATGGCATACAGTCTGGCGGCACACTATATTATTGAATGCTAATTTCTATTTCCTCAACAATGAAACAGGTATGTGCTCTATTGTAAAAAATGCACTACTTGGTCTGCTTCATTTATATACGCAGTCACTCTTGAATATTAGAAAGTAAGCTGTTGATTTTTCTTCACAAACAACAGTAAAAGGAATATAAGTATATCACAAAAACAAACCTCAGCCAATTCTTGGGGACATTGAAAGAGCTTCAAGCCAGTCAGTTTGAATCCCTTCCTCTCAAACCTTGAAATAATTTCTCCAACCTAATAAAACATAACCCATATTGATAATTCAGAACAAAAAAATTATTTAATGTCTCCTGATTAATGCCTATGCTGAGAAAGCCGAAGCATACATCCTTTTCTGCTGTTGTCCTATCCAGAAATGAAGTAGCCATTTGAAATAAGCAGAAACATATTTGTATTGCGTTCAACTGATTCAATAGGCTTTCTCCAAGGAATAATTGAAATTACAAAATTGTATTTCTTTTCTCAGCGACAAACCAGCATTAAATTTTCAACAAATACATTACACAAAACGAGTAATACTTACAAGACCACGTTGAACACCATCGGGTTTTACCATAATGTAAGTCTCCTCAACTTGTTCCTAAACACAAAAAGAAGAAAGAAAAAAAAAAAAAAACCTCAGATGGGTTTCCATTAATCGACCCCGAATATGAAAATAGAGAAATAGGCTAATTATACTCTGTTACCAAACTAAATAAAAAAGAAGGGAAAAACACTCCAATAGGGTGCCATAAATCATGTAAAAAGAGTCAGAGAGAGGAGCAAAATCATACCAGGGAAGCGACCAAGTGGGGAAGGAAGATGCCAGGTTTGGTGGAGTTGCGAGCAATGGTTTTGGATTGAAGAGGACATGTTTGAGATTTTAGGAAAAGATGGGAGTGAGAGGGGAATGCAGCAAGTTGAGTTTTGCTGCGTTGGATAAGCTTGTTGGAGGCGTAGGATAAGCTGCAACTTCTCTTACAAACAATAGAAGCTGATGATGACACACCCAACACCCCTACACCCTCCATCATTTTTTCTTCTCTCTTTCTCTCCCTCCACAACCCTTAAAAAGTTCCACTTTTTGCGAATCACTAAAAATTACCCATTGTCATACTTACGGAGAATATCATTTTTTTTAATATTAAGCTGACCCTCAAAGGTTTATAAATATATTTTGAACGCCATTTCATTATTAAATAGACTATCAAAAATATTTTATCATTGATGCCTCTTTGATTAACTTTTTTTTTTTTTATATATATAATCGAAGGTGTTTGGGATAGCTTACGCTTATTTTAACTAATTTTTTGGGATTTTGAAATTATCGACCAAGTAAAAACTTTAGTAATTATCTCTATTAACAATCGAAAAAAGACTCGAAGTTAAGATCTCTTGAATAATACATCTAAGAGTCCCTATCGTACCACTTGACTTACTTTGTTAGGTTTACAAAATTACTTTCTTACAAGACTAAAGTTGTCTTTTTGTTTTAACACTAGTTCATAAGATTCAAAGTTACCATTTTACCCATTTAAAATTTATAGCAATATAAGGAAATTAGGACAAAAGGGTAAACAATATAATTTTCAAACTTTAAGGGACTATTTGAAGGTGCAAAAATTTTCATCCAAATAAAATTAAGAAACCTTAGGGATAGTGAATGATATTCTCCCCCTTTTTTTTTCCTTTTTCATTATGACCTCCAATTGCTCTTAAAATAGAATATGAGATGAGAACAAGAACAAGGTGAGAATTAGTAGAATTGCGAAGAACAACTTTCATAACATAATTTTGATACATTATCAAAACGTTTAGAATATGGTGGTTAGAGGTTGTCCCGTTACCAAATGCATTAGAAAATATATCAAAACTGTTCTCAGAGCTTATTACTTTTTGAATACTATGAAAGTGAAAGGTGCAGTATTATGACTTTTTAGCATTTATAGAAGACTAAACTATTTTTTTCTATTCAAATAATGACTTAATGATACTTTTTCATCTAAAAAATTTTAAAATATAATTTTATTACCTATAGCAAAGTTTTATAAATAAATCTCATTGTAAAAAAAAAACAAGATGGCCAAAAATCTGTTATAAGTGAGGGCAGGATGATTAATTAATATTAATTTTTTGTTTTTTTTTCCCTTTTTTCCCTATTTCTTTGGCTAGCTGCTTCTCCCTTCTCTCCTTTTGCTGTCATTGGCGTTTTGTGCACCCATTTCCTCCCATACTACCGCCGATTTTGGCCAGTCCTGATGCGGGCTTCTATCTTCTATATATATTAAGGTAGCACAACTTTGGAGAAAGTTGATCATCAAAATTAAGAGTCTTTGTTTTTTTTTTTTGAGTAATACTACACATATAATATTTTTATACAACATTATGTGATAAAATATGATTGATTGATTTTAAATTAAAAATAAATTTTCATCTAATCATCTTCTATCATATAATATTATAAGAGAATATTGTATCGTGTATTATTATTATTATTATTATTTACTTGGTTTTGAGCATTTGTTTAAAGCATTGTTTTTTTGAATAGGCTTTGGGCTTAAAGGATTGTACATCGTCTAGTATTCTTGGTCTTTTGTGTAGCTTAGCCTTGGGCTTGTCCAAGGTTTAGCCTAGGGGGGATTTCATTTCTTAGGTTGTTTCTTTTATTCTTTTTATACAATTATCGGTTTTATCTAAAAAAATAATAAAAAAATAAAAAATAAATAAAAGTCTAAATGCAAGCTTTCTATATATCTTTTGTGTTATTGTTGCCTCGCTTTGTAAAATGTTGATCATCAAAGACAAGTGACTTTTCAGAAGTTTGGTCATGAATTGAATTAAAGAATTAATGAAATATCAATATGTAGCCTTATTAGGGGTTGTGGGGATCAAACTCAGGACACCATATCAATCCTCATCTTTTTTGATAACCGAGGTATCTGGGTCAATTTACACATATATCAACTAATTTCTCGAAAATACCAGTCAAATAAGAGCTCTAGTGGTCATCTCTATTAGGGGTTGTATGGCCTCGAACTCGGGAGATCATGTTAGATTATTCTTTTGCTTTTTTACCATCAAGAGGACTCGAACTTGAGATGTCATGTTAAATCCTCCCCTTGCTCTGTTATTATTAAGGGGATTCGAACTTGCAAGGCCATATTAAATCCTCATGTGCTCTTTTACCATCAGGCCACCCAATGATTGGTGCTTTGGAAAAGGTTGATCATCAAAGACAAGTGACTTTTAAGAAATTTTGGTCATGAATTGAATTAAAGAATCAATGAAATATCAATATGTACATTTAGGAACCCATCCTCTATGCACCCAAACAACAATACATTTACTTTATTTCATCTGTTCAAAGACAATGAACAGGTCACACTGGAATTCAAAATGAGTAATGCTACAGCCACCGATGATAGTGCATCGAATTTGTGCATCGAATGACGTGATAAAATCCTGACCGTTGATTAATATTAAGTTAAAATTAATCAACGGTCAGGATTTTGCTACGTCATTCAATGCACAAATTCGATACACTACCGTCGGTGACTGTATTATTTTCCATTCAAAATAACTTGCTTTCACTCCAAATTTTGCTACATGCCTAACATAGTAGCGCCAATGGAGTAAAGACATTATTGGGTTTTCATTGCTACCTAGTTACCATTAGAACCCTGGTAACTTTATTATGCAGCTATACATGCTTCAGCATTTCCAACAAGAAGTAGCAATTATTGGCTTTGATTTCCATCCGAGAACCAAACATCCCTTCTCTTCCACAACAGTGTAACCTTCACACACCTTTTTGTTCTTGAGCCATTTCTGGGCCTGAGCCATCATCTTGATGGGTGCCACCTGAAATCCTGCGCGACTCATCCTCCGTCGCCACTGATCCACCCTCTCATGTCGCTCAACCCTTGCAGGTCCCTCACAACTCACAATGTTTTTAATTTCCTCTGCAAAGTAGAACTGTTCCATTTTGGCGCGCCTGGTGTCATATTTGGGTAGCATGGCATCGAGGGAGTCAAAAATTGCTGAGTAGTAATGCAATGCTTCCATGAATCTCCCCAGAAAAAATGGCCCATTATGGCTTGAGTCCTGCTCCACTAAAACCAAAACTTTGGGCGATAGCTCATGGATTATCTGAAGGACTGAATTTAGAGCTCCTCGACTTTCTTTAACCACACAATGCAACTGGAGGATGCTATTGACAACAAGAACTTCATTTTCATCTACTTGGATGTCTTGAGTCTGCAGGTTTTCTAAGTTGCTTTCCACAACGGAAAAGTTCAGATTTATACAATAATCGTGTGCATAAGCCTCAAGCTCATCGCCAATAATTTGGAATTTATCAACACAAAGGCCAACCGCAGTTATTCGAAGACGGCGGGGCGGTTGGCCCGCACGGTTGGCGAGGCTCTGGATCAGCCAGCGCCACTGGTGCCCATCTGGCAAACCAAGGGTCATCCCTAAGTCCACCACATGGACGAAACTCTCTCCCTCAAAGGCTTCCAATATTGATGAGTTGGCTAAGAAGTGACTAAACTGAATATGCGGGCAAATTTCATAGACAAGGCGCAAAGCTTCCACTCTCTTATCTGAACTTGCAACATCCATTATGTTCATTGTTGGTGGTGCTGCAAAACCAAACGTTCCAAGGGGTTGAACCATTGCAAGACGGTCAGTAAGACCTTGGACAAAGCAAGAAGCAACACGTTGGAAGGAAGAGCCAAAGACCAACGCATTGGCCCTTAATTCTGACAACAAAGCCGAGGCATGTGACTTGTCTCGACAAGCCACGGCTTCTGCACAAGCAATGAGAAGCTGAACAAGCCTCATACCGTCGGCAGTTCCATCTTCTTCGGCAGCTCCACCATCCTCAGCATTCATCATGGCCTGTGCCGCCTCCTCTACAGCCTCGGCGGCAAGGTATCTCCGAGTATAAGTCCATATATGATCCCGGAAGTGGAGCCTCGGCAAACTATTCAAGCTACCAGTGCTGCTACTGCGGCTAATGCAGCTTCCGCCACTGGACAGACTACTGCTACTTGAAATGGATTCAGCAACACTCGGTGTCCGTTTAATCCTCTTTTGATCTCTGGTCTCTTCCGAAAAAGGAAGGATCAAGGTTGAAGCAGCCGCATGTTTCAACATAGGCATGTACCAATCTAAAGTTGAAAGCCCCAGTTCAAGGGCCATCACTTCATTACTCCTTTGATCACTATAAAGCTTATTTGAAGGGAAACCAGGCATCATTTTTCAGATTTTTCTCTTTCTCACTCTCTCTAAATATATTCAACAACGCTCTGAAAGAACCTATTACCAAAGGTTGGTGCGTTATATAGACACAATTTTCCTCGTTAATTTCGCAGAAAATTACAAGATACTAAGAAAACAATTGGCTTGATGGGTGTCCCCCAAGACAGAGGCATAGAATAATAATAAGCTATAGCATCGAGCAATCATCTTAAAAGCCCGTCGCTTTCTATGAGTTTTGTATTCTTTAACTTGTCAGTCTTCCGGCCTAGGAGGTAACTCATTTGGTTTCTAATGTAATTGAAAAAATCTTATCAGTAAATGTCATTTCTGCATATCCTTATTGATACCTATTTCATATATTTTAATCTTTCTTTTCATCAATCCGGCCTGCTTAAATGTTACCTGCAAACAAGCATTAGGACAATTAGATATACAAGTTCCACATCATTAAATGTTCTTAGTCGTGGTAATTTTAGGAGTTGGGACGTTTTTAAGAAGCTGCAGTTTTGCGACAAGAAAGAAGGAAACAAGGACGATTGAAGGACGATTTCCTTAAGCTCAATAGTCAATACAGAATTGTTCACAATTCCCATTTCAGAAATTTAGCATAATCTAATCTCCTGTCACAGCTGGTGGCGGTAATGTTACAATGCAGGCAACTCTACGCGTTTGTGATCCTGTGTTTCGAGCCTGCATTGTGGATCATGTAATGGGATTCTATACTTGGCCTTGCATCCAATGCCGGCCTTCTTGAATACATACAGAAAAATACAACATACATATGGTGCATTGATACGTTTTTAAACCCTCTACGCAACTAGGTTCACATATTA